CAACAGCAAAGCCAAAGTCATGAACTTATTGTTCAAGTCAAATAGCGGCCTACTGGATAACAGGACGCCCTTAGCCCACCTCCTGTCTTTGGGTGTTAAAGAAACAGATGCCTCAAATCCCACTGGAAGTTAGTGTCCCAGCACGCACTTGAACTCAGCCGCCCTTGGCTCCAGCCAACTGGAGCAGGCACTGTAGTCCCAGTTTCATTGTTTTCAAGCTAGACCCACATAAGAATCATGCTCGTGTATTTTTTTCTTTCACTTTTATTTCAACTCAACTTTTAAATGTGTTAACTTTTCTAACAGCCCCTTTGAGAAGAACGAGAACAACTTCTGCTGTGCCCACCAGGCAATCCATCTCTAACACCATCGGGGGCATATGTATTCCCTTCTAAATCTCTCTGCAAGATTTTAGAAAATTCTCCAAGCATCATTCTGATTCTATTCCGAATTCAGTGAGATCATCCAAAGCGATAACCTTATTGGTATTTCATCATCATCTCAGTCCCTGCTAGAGAATTTTTCCCATCATTAAAATTAACAAGGTCCGTTTCCCAAGTTCAAGATACTGAGTACTCCTGTGGGTGGAGTTTTGTTTCTCAAATTGAGCTACAGTTCTCTATGTGCAAAGTTATACTAAGCGTCATTTACTTTATTGCTACGTAATAAGAAACCAAAATGAAAGTGCTAAGCTCTCCTCCTAACACATCCTACACTTCAGCAGCCACACTCAAATACACAAAAACCACACATTTCCAACTCAGCCCCTGGTTTCTCTGCATTTGTGACCACAAAAGGAACCTTACCGCAGTTTAGAATCAATGGCTTGGCAGAAAAAACGTGTGCCTTCTAAGTGGCCCAGGGTCTAGTGTTACAGCCAATTTGAGAAGAAAGCCACAGTCCTTCCTGGATGTCTGACAAAGCCATGGTGTCCACACATAAAGTAACCCAGGGTAAAAGGACCCAACCAGATGAGAGGATTTCTGTTCTCTTTTCTACAGCCAGCAAACAGGTGACTCAATAGCTAGAGTTGAATGTGGCTTTAGTCAACAGCCATAAAACATTCTAGTCTGACCAAAAAATCATGGGGAAACACTGTATCACTAAATAAAAGAGGTCCTCAACACTACAGCACTCGTGAAAGGAAGGGGAGAGAGGATGAAAATAAAAAGCCAATTTCATAAACGAGGTGGAAACGAATTCTGCAAGGGAACTACAAATACAAGATCCCACCCACCAGCTCAAAACAAGCTGGCCTCATCCCTGGTGTTCCAAGCTGAAATGAGATGTTTTCAAGATGGTCACAAAGAAAGGCAAGCAGTCACTCTGATCCACTCCCTCAGTCACCCTTTCAACTACCTTTCCTTAGTTAGCTCAACCAAGGCTGTTTGCTCTTTTTTCCCCCGTCTCTATAGGCCTGTGTTTCAGTAAAAATAAAATACAACTGTAACTGAGATCTAAAAGAAAAAGAGATTTAAAAAAAAGATGCTAAGGGCTAAGACTGAAGCCTGGGAGGGGGTGCCCAGAGACTCCAGGCCACCAGATTTGTCAGAGCCCATTAACCCAGGCAGGGAAGGGAGCTTACAGCTCCCACTGTTGGCTGATCAAAGTCCAATCAGAAAGTAAGGGAGGAACCCAGCCAGCCTCATGTGACCCAGCGCAGGAAGCCAAGTCTGAAAAGAATAAGCTGTGCTTGTGAATAAGGTGCACCCAGACATCTTTACTGAGCATGTTAGAGAGAAAGGGAGGGGAGAGAGAGAGAGAGAGAGAGAGAGGAGTCTATTTGAAGCTGCATCCTAACGAACCTTAATAAGTTAATGCAGAAATCCTCCCAAGGAGTCTGGCTATAGGAGACACTGGTCTCGCCTGAATCAAAATCTGTTATGTTGTAATATAATAGATGTAAATTAAAACAGAAAATCTATCATGCCCCTAATGTACCCTGATAGCTGAGTGTGTGGATCCGTCCGAGGAGCGGCACCAGGAGGAAGGGTGATGTATGGAGCAGCTGGATGGAGGGTGAAAAGCGTGGCGAGCCACGCGGGGGGACGGTGCAGCCCGCTCGCGCGCCTCAGACCCAAGGGCAAGAGACGAATAAATGTTGATTAGTGTTGATTTTGTCCGACAAACGCCTGTCGAGTGACAGTTGGGCTAAGCTGCACTGAAAGAGAACCATTAATCTTGGTCTGGTTTAAGTAGAGTATATTAATTTGTGTCATTTTTACTAAGTCGGACGGAGACAGGCCTCTTGCTGCTTTGCATATAACTGCGTTGGTGATTCAGCCCAGCTCCCCTCCAGGCACTCCCCCCTTCCCCCACACCCCCCCAACACTTTTTAAAACAGATACCGCCACGGCAGCAGCAAATTCAAATGACACAGCAGGGAAGCAGCGGACTGAGAGCTCCTCTCTCGGATTAAGAAAATAAACTCCCAGGGTGTTGGCATAGCAACAGCATTTCAGATGAACTGCTATATATTCAGTGATTAATAAATTAACATTTTTTACAGTTGTTCCTCCTTTCCTCCCCACCCCCACCCTCGCTCTCACTACCCGCAATGTTTGGGCCTTTCCAAGTCCCGACAGGCTAGGAAATAACTAAGGTTTTGTTCTCCCCAAAAACACATACCTGGAAAAGGACCCTAAGCAGTATCCAACAGAGTCCTGACCTTCCCACTCCAGTGCTGCATGAAGAGGAAGTTTGTGCCCTAGGATGGTGGTAGTTACCTTTAATAGGAAGCTGACACTTCCCTTTTTGAGCGGACAGTCATCCAACAGACACTACCACAAATGTGGGCAATTTGTGTTCCAGAAACAGAACCCGATGGGCATCGTGAGAGGAAGGAAAGAACAAACAACCGGGAAACGCTGCCACAGCAGTCCACGTCAGACAGTTTCAACAGCAGGTCAAGTTCAAAAAGCACTCTCTTTTCGAATCCTTTATGAAATACCATTATGTTTAAGGCATCACAAAGGAAGAGGGACATGGTAGATTTCATTTCTTTACAGCTCTCACCTGCACCAGTGCTTTAGTATAATCATCAGTCCAAGGTATACCCCAGCAGGCATGGAACCAGGCCAGGTTCTGCTGAAGACCAACCTCAGTGTCTTGGGTGACACCTGGCCACAACATCCCTGAAGGAGCCTCTGGTCGAATCTCCCTGAAACCTACAACTATAGGTTCTAAGAAAGCAGAAGGAATATTCAGTGAGCAACTCAGAAGCTATCTCCAAAGCAGAAGAAAGAACACACGTATTGTGTACAGGTCCAGAAGACAAAGCTGGCACAGGTGGTGGTGAGCTGGCTCTCAAAGGCGACAGAGAGCTGGGTAACTGTTATCCAGGACTGTTACAAACGTGTTCCTTCCTCGGTTAAATGGGAGATTAAATGATGTAATCTTTTAGGTAGCTCAAGGCCAGTGCCGGAAGATGATGAAAATAAATACAATCCAACGAGGCTTAACACATGCCAGGCGCTGTGTCAATGGCTTTAGGAATATTAACTATGAGAAAGAGATCCATGAAACAGATACCACTAGTATCCTTCCTATCAAATAGATACTGAAGCAAAGAGACGTTAAGCAATATGTCCAAGTCACCGAGCACATAAATGGCAGGGCTGGGATTCCAACCCTGGCCGTCAAGAGTACAGAGCCAGGCTCTTACCTACTACACATCACGTCCTCCGCCAGTTCCATTCAAACTCTACCTGATATAAGATACAATCCATGTTGGGACCCTTGAATAAGAGCAAAATGGACCTCGCAATGAAAATATTACTAATAGAAGATGATGTGATAATTAATAACATAAAAAGAAAAGAGGAGATGACTGAGAAAACAATAAAAAGTCAATCAACACCATTCACTTGAGGACATTCCACATAGAGTGTAGTACAGTGGATATGCACTCGTGAAAACTGGTTTGGAGTCTAGCTATAGCACTAACCAAGTACATGAACTCAAGCGATTTAATATCCACTCTGGGCTTTCTTCTCTGTAAAACAAACTGGTTGGGCATTTCTAAGGTTTCTTCTAGATGTACATGAACAGGTTGAAGGTCCAAACACCATAAAGTCAATACCCCAGGTTCTAGGTTATTCTCAGCCACGCAAATGACATCACTCTGTGCTTCCATTTCCCCCTCTCCACAATGGGCAGGCCTGTGGAGGGCCACAGGGGGTCTAGATTGCTGGTTCTCTATACCATACACACCATAAGGATCCAACGCATCCAGGCTGCTGATTCTCCCCAGTCTCCTCATCCTTAGAAAGCTCTTACTGTAAGTGCGCTGGGGTAGTTGATAAAAAGCAATAAATTGAGAAAAAAGCTTAAACACAGGTCCTGAGCAGTGTCGAATACCTAGTGGGCATTCTGCCTATTCTACACTAACAGGATATCTCTAGTTCCCGAAATTACTTATGGATTATGAAAACCTATACACTCAAGGTCACAGAGTTTGGCTTTTCTCTCCCTCCCACGTTCAGCAGGAGAAAGGCTGTGCTACGGACGTGAGGACAGGTACACCAGGCCTCACTCTGCTCACAGCCGAGCCTGACTGCTTCCCTCCCTCCCTCTGCAATCAGAATGTCTGAGCTTCTCATTCCTTGAGAGTAACGGGTAGCATCCCAGAGGGGAGAAAGAGCATAATGAAGACGAAGGGGGTGAGGGCCGTGGGGGGACTGAAGGATATTTCCCTTCTTTGTAACTTCAACTCTGGTTCTGCCGAGTCAATGAGAAGCTGCTAGGGCCACTGATGCCGAGGCCATGGCAAGGTCCTATGGTTTCAGGGCAGAAGGGTATTAGGTCAGCCCCAAGTAATCACGGTGATAACCATATTAGTATTTGTCCAGAGAGAGGGGTAGTGTGAAGGGAATCCCATTAAATCCAAGAGGACTCAGATAAAATGATGCTAAGGGTCAGACCGGATCTCACAACAGCCTGTGATTTGTGGCTTATGCCACTTCCCTAATTTGCCTCTCTCCGGCTGATGGTCCATGAAGGTGAGGGGGGTTACTGAGCGTTGCCCAGGCTCGGCTTCTGGAACAAGCAAGTCACAACACTGACTGCCTGGCTCCTGACTCTGCCGCAGCCACACTGGCTTCCAAACTCCTGTTCTGAACTGCAAAAACAGTCAAATGTGGAATCAAATCCATTTCCACTTCCTTGATTTGTATTATTTTCCTTCATTGGCTATGAATACTGATTTATCTCATTGATTTCATATGCATCTTAATTGCTTTTCTCTTGTGTGTTCAAAGTGTATCTGATGCAAGGGTCTGTCTACAAAGACAATATGTCCTATTTATATATTATCTATTGTGGACTGTAAACAGTAATGGCAGAGTCTGTCTTTTCTCTATCACACTTGTAAATATGCCCAGAGGCTAAGCAGCTTCTCCAATAAGTAAAATAAATAATGAATTAAGTAAGTGGACTTGTCACTCTCTGTGTGGAATATTTATGCTTTGCCCCTTATCTCAGTAAAAGGGTCAGCACAGGGTGATAGCGTTTACTCTCCTCTTTTATTTAATTTTTTTGTCCCCCTCCTGCAGCGCCCATGCTTTCATTACATGAATCTGAGAGCTAAAGTTTCTAGCTTCTCTACATTGTTTACATCTAAAGACATCTAAGTTTGTTCATAAAGTACTCTGAAACCTGTAGGAAAAAAATTCTCTGTGCCATTAGGTTTATAAAACTACCTGTTTTATTTGAACCAGAACTTTCATCTAGCACTTAAGCCAGATGGAAGCTTTTAAAAGTTACATTTTTTAAAAAGTGTGGTAACAGTTATATACATTAATCTGAAAGAAAAAGAACAAGCAACTCTGGGTTTAACATATTTGCTTCTTCCTTCTTTCCCTCCCCACCCCTCAATCTCTGTGAGGTTCCTACCTCTCCCCGGTGGAGACCACGTGCTGTTATTTCATAATGCACTCTGTCAGTGACATCAAACTACCTGGAGATCTGCTAGATCGGACAAGGTGTCTTTATAGGAAGGTGAGGCTCCCAGGCTTTTGCGTGATGATGCCAAATGCTTGCCATTCTTGTTTTACTATGAGTTGTGGAGGAAGGAATTCAGCACATGATAAAAGCAAAGGATCCAAAGACTGTAAGAGAGTAACTGCCAAGTATCTAATGGTGGCAGTGTGACCAAGAGGAAAAGTTTTGTAGGTTTGTTATCTGAGAACTCTAAGTTTTGTCACTTACTAGTCACAGGAGATTAGACACTTTATTTATTCTCTCTGGGGCTCAGTTTCCTTATCTGTTAAATAGAAACAATAACTCTTTCAGGATCATTCAATGTGCTTTATACAAATAACCTCACTTCATCTGCTTTCTCTTTTCCCCAGTGTTTGGGAAACAGAAAAATGTATCACATGGTATATTACAGTGTCACTTGATTGACAGATGGATCAATGGAAAATCACTAATTATCATGGGCGACCTATATATAAAAACTGCCTTTTCAAATATATGAGCACCATGCCCACAGGTCAGGGCTTTCCTGGTAGCTCAGAGGGCAAAGAATGTGGGAGACATGGGTTCGATTCCTGGGTCAGGAAGATCCCCTGGAGAAGGGCATGGCGACCCACTCCAGTGTTCTTGCCTGGAGAATCCCATGGTCAGAGCAGCCTGGGCTATAAGTCCATGGGGTCGCAAAGACTGAGAGAACCGAGTGACTAACACACACACACATGCCTACAGGTCAGAAAACCCAGAGGACCTAAAAGAGGCCTTTCTCCTAAAATGCCCTGTACCCCAGGCCTATAAAATACCTCAAACCTATGAAACTCAGGAAAGAAAAATATACTCAGGATCCTTCTTCACGTCATCCAAGAAAGGATTCAACAAACCCTGCTTTCTTTGCCAAGACTCTCAGGTCTGAAATCTTTTCCCTAGCAGAGTCACTGATGTCCAGAATCACCCCCACGCCGATCACGAGCACTAGCTTTCCTAGTGGCTTCACAGAAGGACATCAGAACAAATTTCACATTGTTCTAGGGTCGTTTTATTCACCTTCCTGAAAAAGTGGGGGTTTTTTTTATAGCGTTTTTCATATCATCTGTGATTTTTGGCATACTCATTCACACTGTCTTTCAAAAAAGAAACAGTCAAAATATTGCCCATATAAAATATATAAATAGATGGAGTCATACATACAAGCATCCCAAATGTGGCTGAGATAACAGATTATAGGAACTACTACCTTCTATCAAGGAGTTGGCAAGCCAACCTTCTCATTGGGAAAAGAATTGAGAAATTTGGAGGCACAGCCTCACCACCTGTCTACTTCTGCCAAATGATCTCGCTACGACAGCTACCACCACAGCTAACAGAAATGCTGAGGTGGCTTGATGGGAAACTTGGCCTGACAGTAAAACCTTTTGAATGATTTCTATGTTAAAGAATCAAGTAATCATGGCAAAGATGAAGTCCGGCTGGGGACCAGGAGACAGCAGTGTTCATCCCAGCTGGCGAGTTTCCTACACACTGAGTGGCCTCAACAAGCCACATGGCTCTTTGCACCTCAGTTTCCTATAAATGCAATGAGTGGGCTGGACTCAGTTCTATGACTCCTATCCAACACTAACAGTCCATGAGTCAAGGAATGGGAAGATCTGCTGGAAGTGGATAACCTTAGAGAGAGAGAGGGAGGACCTAAAATTGCATATGGTAACATGCAGAAACGGTGCCTGCGAGGAACTCAGAAGACAGCTTTGATAAGCAGAGGGATCCCTTCCTCCTTCCGTCTGGCCTCAGTATTTCCTCAGTAGTCAGCCACTTTCACAGCTCCAAGTTTAACTCAAGATGTTCAATGTTAACTTTTGATTTTTGGATCATGAGTGCTAGCTTCTTCATATTCCTTAGAGGACAGGTCCATGAAGACATGGAGAATGATTAATGTAGGAATAGCCACAGCAGTCAAATAAGCAAAGCTACAGATAATAAAGAGAAAAAAAGTGACACCAATGACCAGGGTAAGGGCCCCAGCCCTGGCCCCGGCAGCATGTTGGAGGTCAACCCAAACAAGCACTGACTTCAAGAAGCTTGCAGGAGGATTGTCAGTCTGCTCCACCCTAAGTCATGATGGAACTGTTGCCATGGCAACAAAGGTACTTGAGAGGGACATGAGCAAAGGGAGACTTAAAAAGAAAAAGACAATATGTGGCCTAAACAAAAATATGTGACGGTGTAAGGGGTGCTGTAAAGCCTTTATTGCCACTTGTTAAGGAAGACCTGTATAGCTCACTCGTGAGTAATAAGGCGGTCAACCCAAACTAAGGCACTAAAAATTTTATAGCACCCCACATATCATATAGCTCTAGATAGATAGAAAAACAGAGTGATACATATATAAAGGATTTCTGCAGATACACTCACAAACACACAAGCAAATGTTGCTCTGATTCTGGAAATGCCGTCTTCTAATAGAGTCGTTAAATTTACCAATATCCTTAATTTATCGGCTATCAAATTCCACATCCCACCAATTCAGTTCTTAAAAGGTTCAGAAAGCTCAGCTGCAATGAGAAGGAACAGTGATGGTTTCACAGGGAGTAAGACCAACCAGGTGCATAAAGCTAGGAATCTCAGTTCTAGTGGTGACTCCACAACTAATTTATTATTTCACAGTTGGATTAACCATTTTCCTACTGCCATCAGGATTGTCAAAGTGACTGTTCGGGACTTGAAGAGCAAGGACCACTGCAGCTCAGTGCAGAAGATAAGAGACCGCTATGCTCTGAGTCTATGTCCCTTACCTTACGCCAGGAATATGCTCCTGAAGCACGGGCCATAAATTGATTTAGAGTCTTATTAGAAGACTATAGGACTAGAAGACTTAGCCATTTAAAGCAAACCTGCAGTAAACAATTTTAGAGAGGACTTTAAAAAATGTTTTTGTAAAGTAAATGACTCCTTTCATTTCTTTTCTCCCAAATTTAGTTTTCTATGAGTTTTTTTCCAAGGTCAGGAGCACATAACCCTGGGGAACCCCACTGCACACTGTGTTAAGAACAGACATCCCCCAAAAGCAATTAAGGTACTACCTTCAGTCAGCTGAAACTAAAACAAGGGCAGAAAGATGCCTTCTTGGAGCCTATGCTCTATTTGTTGTAATTCCAGGCCAGCAGTTTCAAATGCATGGCCCCAGCAGGAAACCAGCTTGCTTAGACTCAGAGGCCACCTCTAAGTACTTTGCCATGATATGTGATTAAAAAACAAGATAATATGGATGAAAGTACTCCATGCTCACCGGAGAAAAAAATACTATAAAGATGCAATGGATTGGTATTATTATTTCTGTGTTGTGCTCAGTCACGTCCAACTCTCTGTGACCCCGCAGACTGCAGCCCATCAGGCTCCTCTCTCCATGGAATTTTCCAGGCAAGAGTACTGAAGGGGGTTGCCACTTCCTACTCCAGGGATCTTTCTGACCCAGGGACCAAACTCACATTTCTTGCATCTGCCACATTGGCACTGCCCCACCTGGGAAGCCCTATTCTTATTTCTGCTGAGCCATTTCTGAAGCACAGACATGGATACTTGCCTGGCTACTAAAGACAGACTAGCACAATCCCCTAACTAAAGGCCAAGTTCAGTCCCTTCAGCAGTTCAGGAAGCATAAACAACCAACTGGAGCATTCTCAGAGTGTCTTGTCCAACACACTGGCTCCCTATCTCTTGGGACGTCCTTCAAGTAGAACATTATTCACTTTCTCTGCTATTCTGACTCTCCTGTCCTATTACTGAGGGTCCATTCTTGAGTTCCATCTGAGTCACCCCGTGGGTTCAGCACAGCCAAGGTGAGCCATGCTCTCTGAAGCAGGAGGCGACTCTTGCCAAGCTGAACACCCAGAGGCTGCAGGTGACATGATGATCAGGCCAAGCAACCACCAGCACACATGTGTCCCAACACAACCCAAACTCAAAAAGACATTTATAATAATGGAAGTTCAACGGCGTCCATTTTGTGAAGTGTTAAACGTGTCAAGAGGCTGAGTTAGAGCTCAGGCTATGAAAGGACACTATAAGTTATATCTCTTTAAAAAAAGAAAATTAGCAAATGGTTCATTTTACCTTAAGGGGGAAAAAAAAGGCATTTTCAATTAGGTGAGTGGAAGGACAAATGCTCCAAAGTGCATTCTGCTAAAGTTATAAGTGCTTTTGAAACCCCTCCTGTCAAAGCGTGAGTAACACAAGATTTAAGATGCCCAATTAATTTTTCCCAGCCACCAGCCAAAAGTAGATGCAGGAGGAGGTTAAAAGCTAAGTGTTTAATTAATATTAAATTTATAAGATTCTCTATCACTGAAAGCATTGTAAAATTGAAAAAGCAGTTAATTTTACGGTTGCTGTGTATTCCTCTGCTTTGATCTTTGATCTATGATATAAAATCACCAACTGTAAAGATTCCCCCGCTTTATTACACCTGTTTAATGGTGAGAAGGAAGAAAGAGAGGGGGAACCTACAGACATGAATGAGAGTGAGGTCCTGAAACTGGTCGTTAGCATTGATCAGAAAGAAACTAGATGTGGACTGTATTCAGGAAACAGTCTTTGACCAAGCCACAGAGGGAGACAAGGCATACTCATCCCCCACCACTTTTCACACCTCATTTTTCTAGAGTAGTAAGACCAACACAACAGCTGGCTATCCCTGACTTCAGACAAAACACTGAAGCAGAATTAGGGAAGAATTTTCTGAAATTGAGAGTTGCCAAGGCTTAAACTGTTCATTGGAATCAACCACAACATTGCCTTTTCTACAGAGAGGAATTCTGAAATTAGAAAACTGTGCATCCGTCTTGAACAGCCTGTATAGAGATTTATTCCACCAAGGATTCCATCTACTCACCCACGTGGAGAAGCCCAGGCCTGGACAAGGAACTCTCAGCCAGAGCAACGAGCCCTCTTTCATCAGTGGCATTTACCAGAGCCCTACTGATAAAAGGACAAGCGGACAGGAATGCAAGGTGATGGGGCGGGGGGGCAGACCTGCTACCACAAAACCATCCTGAGCAAGGTTTTCCCAGGGTTTCAAAACACCCAATTTCTGCCAGTCAAGACAGATATTGGTCCCTTTATAAAAGACCAAGTTATGAATGCTTAAAGCCTTAAAGGGGAGAGGGAGTATGTAGCCCTGAAATAAACCAAACATCTGGCCTGCAAAAACACCCCATACTTGCCTTCAGCCCTTCCCCACCCAAAGCCAGCGGGTGGGAGGGGGGCAGTTGGAGGATGGGGGTGACAGGGTCCAGGCAGGGACAGGACTGGGAGGTGGAAGAAAAGACAGCATTCCCTGCTCAACAGAACTTTGCATCCTAGCCCCCAAAGGAACAATGCGGGCACTTCCGACTCCTGGCCTTCTTCAATTCTGTTTCACATCCAGAGACAAAGGCCTATTATGCAGAATAGATTTTTACAGAAAGGCAGAAGGAGGGTGAGGGGGAAACAGGATAATTCATGTGAGGTGTTTTTTCTTCCTTTTTTTTAATCCCATCAGGGATCTCATTATAATTTCATTATTAGCAGAAAAACCAAATAAGTGGCAAGAAAAAGAATCTCAGCTTAATATTAAGACACACACACACACACACACACACACACACTCACACACACAAAGATGAAAGATCCTCTGAGCTTCAAAGCGGCTGCTAATTTTCCCAGCTTCAAACGACTCAGTCAGAAAGACACTGACAATGAATGTGCTTTTGCCACCAGCTCACTTATAAACTTTTTTCTCCCTTTCTGCCTCCCTCCTCAAAATTAGTCCTCATTTTTAACTAGAAACAAATATCAGATGTAATAACAGAATTCTGAGTTCATACATAATCTTCCTCTAGTGCTTTGTCAATAAAAATATAGAGGAAATAGAAGAAGAACAGAATGATGCTCAGCTGAAACACGGGGATGCTGAAGTGGTGGAATGCACAAAGGTGAACCTTACATATAGAAAGCAGGAACTATACTCAAGGCCTCAAAGCCGGGAATCCGTATCTCTGACAGCTCAGTGTTGGCTACAGTCAAAGGGAAAGAAGACAGAACACAAGAGGAAAAAGAAGACAAGTTTCTCAGAGCACCAAAACCACACAGCAGTTTTAGATTTTTTTTTTTTTACAATCTGATTTTTTTTATTGAAGTATAGTTGATTTATCATGTTGTATTAGTTTCAGATATACAGCACAGTGATTCAATTACATATACTTTTTTCATTCTTTTCCCTTATCGGTTATTACAAAATGTTGAGTATAGTTCCTTGTTTTATACAGTAGGTCCTTGTTGATTATCTGTTTTATACATAGTCACATCTATGGGTTAAGTCCAAACTCCTAGTTTCCCCCTTCCCCTTTCCCCTTCAGTAACCACAGTTTCTTTTCAATGTCTGTGGGTCTATTTCTGTTTTGTAAAAAGTTCGTTTGTATCATTTTTTTTTTTTTTAGATTCGGCACATAAATGACACCACATGATATCTGTCTTTGGCTTACTTCACTTAGTATGATAACTGCACAGTATTTTTGACTCACTGAACTCAAAAGGGAATTCCAGGTAGGTCTTCTCAGCACAATTCTCAAAAGACAACCACTAACCACTATGCCCCTTAAAAGACAAGCTCTCTCACCAGCAAGCATTTATCACAAGCACAGTGATGGGTAGTGCCTAAATTTAGAAGACTAAATGTCTCGATGTCAAAAGGGCACAATTTAATAGTGTAGTGTAGTGTAGTGATACATTTTTCCTTCTTTCTTTTTACCATCAATCCTTTAGGTAACAAAGGGCCTAAGGAAGACAACCTCCAATTTTAAAATAAGCATCACTCCAGGAAGCCATTCTGTCCCCAGGCCCAGGTCCTAGTACCAACAAAGAGGAAGGTTACATGATGAAGCCGGAGCCAGTGAATAACGCCTAACAGAGGTAGTGCTCAGTAATTGGTAAAGCCCAAACAAAGAACTCCATCCCCTTCCACATTCCTCAACAGTGATCGGGCATATCACCTTTGGAAGGACGGCCAAAGGAAAACTACGATCACACCTCACTGCCAATAACCTGAGAAACACACTTCCAGAGTACAGAATCGGTGCCCAAAACACTAAGTGTCTTTGCCTCTATAACTGTCTTTTTCCATCAAGAAGTTACAGACTTGAGACAAGTTCACACTGAATGTATGCTTCCAAGAGCTTTCCCTGATGATGAAATGGGATACTGCAAGCCTAGCTCTCCCAGGCATTTTCGTTCCAGACCAAAAAATAAAAGAGAACAAGTTTTCAGAACTGAAGCTCCCATAAGCTAGTGCCAAGTGTACACTGTTCAATTGTCTGTGTGAGCCCCTGCTCTGGAAATACTGGGTTGGCCAAGAAGTTTGTTTGGAATCTTCTGTAAATGGTATCTTTTTTTTTCTTTTTAGATTCTACATATAAGTGATATCCTATGATTTATTTATCTGTCTGACTTGGTTCACTTAGTATAATAATCTCTAGGTCCATCCACATTGTTGTACATAGCAATATTTCTTTCTTTTTTATGACTGAGTAATATTCCATTGTTGGTATACATACAATGAAATGTGTGTGTGTGTGTGTGTGTGTGTGTTACCAAACTGGAAAAAGGGTGAGAGAGTGATAAATTAGGAGGTTCGGATTAACATACACACATTACTATACATAAACTAGATAACCATTGAGGACTTATTGTATAACCATACTCATTATTTTGCAATAACCCCTAAGGGAAGGGAAGAGCATCTGAAGTGTATTACCATAGACGAAATGAACTGCTGTGCTATAGGTGGTGCGAGTGGTAAAGAAACCGCTGCCAAAGCAGGAGATGCAGTTTGATCCCTGGGTCGGGAAGATCCTCTGGGAAGGAAACGGAAACCCACTCCAGTGCTCTTGCCTGGAAAATCCCATGGACGGAGGAGCCTGGTGGGCTGTAGTCCATGGGGTTGCTAAGAGTCAGACACGACTGAGCGACTTCACTTTCTCTTTTCACTCTCATGCATTAGAGAAGGAAATGGCAACCCACTCCAGTGTTCTTGGCTGGAGAATCCCAGGGACGGCGGAGGCTGGTGGGCTGCCGTCTATGGGGCTGCACAGAGTCGGACACGACTGAAGTGACTTAGCAGCAGCAGCAGGCACACACACACCTGAAACTGATGTTGTAAATCAACTATACTTCAAAAATAAATAAATACATATACATGAAAAAAAATCTATGTTGTAAGTTGTGGCATAACACGTTCTGTAGGAAAGTCATTCAATTCTGACGATGGGGACCTTTCTACCCTACAGAACCACTGCGTGTGTGCTGTCATGCCCAGCTCTTCGCAACGCCACGGACTATAGCCCACCTGCCTTCTACTTCCAAATTTATATTAAGAGTCATCGGAGAAACAGACAACACTTAGGTAATTTTCACAAATACACTTTCTAGAATTAAAATAGTTGCCAAAAGTAAAAGCTATTTGCTGAAAGTTTTATAAGCAGCTTGGCTTTCCTGATGGCTCACATGGTAAAGAGTCTGCCTGCAATGCAGGCAAACCAGATTTGATCCCTGGATTGGGAAGCTCCCCTAGAGAAGGGAGTGGTGACCCACTCCAGGACTCTTGCCTGGAGAATCCCATGGACAGAGGAGCCTGGGGGGCTAGTCCACGGGGTCACAAAGAGTCACACAACTGAGCTACTGACACTTGATGACAACAGGCTAGGCAAAAGTTCCCAACCTTTGTGACTTTTTCACGCCAAAAAGCTCTAAGGACCACTGCAAGCCAGTCATTCTAATCTTAGCTTCTCCAGCTGGACGAAAGACACACATGACACAAAGCTAAGAGGAACTGAAAAGTGCTCTCTTACATGAACATGCATTTTATTAACCCCAATAGCATCTGGTACATTTGAAGAATTTCAGTAGGTATATCCACATGTGTATCTGCATGTCAGCACATGACATTGTTCTGTTTATAGACAATGCCTGTTGTATGTAAGGATTTCCCAAACCTTTTCAAAAACTTCATGGCTCCCCCAGGGTCCATGGCCCACAAAATGGGAATCACTGTACTAGAGGAGAGAAGATTCCAATTGAAGAAATATATGCCTCGAACCAATTCTTTCATTGAGAGAAAATGACATTCAAAGAGCTGAATGATTTTACGCACACCACTCCTCGTTTTATTCCTACCAACACCATCAAAATGTTGATAGACACAATACAGATAATTTCCCAGTTTACATAGTCTTGATTGCTGGTTTATAACACAATAAAATTTCTCTTTGGTACAAGATCTGATCTTCTTCTATCTACTGTATATACATTTCCTATTACAAATGCTAAGTAAGAGTATTGCAAAGAATAACATAATCAAAATAACGTTTCTAACAATGATTACATGTATGATCAATAACAAGAGTAGCAACTACTTAAGAAACATTAACAAAGAATTCTTTCTATCCAGTTAGCCCTAAGGTTTTAGGAAACAGTGGAAGGATGATAGGAAAGCAAGACTCCATAAGACTGACCTCCCCATAAATGGACATAGGCATTCCCACCCCCAGGACACACCTCCTTCCCTCCACCTCCCTCTCCAATTCCCACTCATCCATTCTCAGCTCCTGTTTGTCTGAGGCCACATGCAACTGGATTTGTCAAGCCCCCTTTTAACAACTTGTTGTCACAGTCCATTACCAAATTGCATATAGTTATATATTCCACTAATTAGGCTTCTAAAATATCATTAACATGTCTCTTGATCATTAGCATAACGTATGAGGCGTCCTCGTTAGGCACGACTCGAGTTTGTTAACGTGGTAATGAAAGGCACAAGGCAGACTCGGCAGGAACCAAGACACACTGAAGTGGGGACTATCCAGGCACTGATGCCAAGCCACTAAGATAGGGACAGAGAGACAGACAAAGGCAAAGAGGAAGAGGCAGAGAAATACACCCTAAAGAAAGCCTCAGAAACTCGATGGGTTTGGCATCTAGAAGGCTGTTTGGCAAGAAGATGAGGTTTAATGCACCCTTCCCAGCTTGGAGGGAATTGAAAGCTGGCAAGGCTCTTAATCTGCCTAAGCAGAAGAAGCTTTTAAAGTTTCCTAGACAGAAAGGAAACCAAGTACAGAAATCGCCTTTCCCCATTCCTCTGCCACCTCCTTCCCAGTCCTGGTTACTGCAAACTGCAGGCAGTCTCGAAGAATGACCTGGGGGCGACATTTCTCTCTTCCTCACCAGGTCCTTTATTAACACCCTGCTAGATCTCTCTGTCTATCCGTACCCACTGCGTTAGTGACAATCATCTTGTGTGTAATGGGGCAGGTCCTACCTCCAGAGATGACAGGCATGCTACGTGCAAAAGAGAGAAGAAGGCGAGTATTTAAAGCATGGGAACTGTATGTCGGTAAGAGGAGGGTGTGTCAGTACGTGTGTGAGCCCACGCCAGCCACGTGCCAGACGCGGACAGTCATCTCACACAGTCTGAGACGATGAAAACGTTTCTGAATGCGAGGACTCACAGGACAAAGACAGAATCAAGAACTTGGTTTAGGAAAGTGATACGCATATGCTGGGTAGAGAATCAGAAGGAAGTTGGAGAGATGAGCTAAGAGCATGTGCAAATCAAGTGCCTAATTTGTCCTGAACAAGGAAAAGCTTGGGCCACGTGAGTACACTGTGGTCACAGGCTGAGGACAGAGGAGGGAACCTCAGAAACAACCAAGCGACTCTCACTCCTCTGCTCACGACTGTGGACGACTCTTGGTTCACGACTCTGGTCACGACTATAAGGAAAAAACCAGTCAGGATCTTGGGAAGTCAAAGCCCCATCCATGGCCAGCACAGAAGACTCTCTGGGCTAGTATCTCCAAGTCTGAGATTTCATACAGATAAACTGAAACTCTCCAAAGCACTGGCAGTTCAGCAAAGAGAGAGAGGGGTCACAATGGCTTTTCTGGGATGAGTTCAACAGAAGTAACAATGGGAACAGAAATCAAGACGTCTGACAACCCACTGTTTTAAACCACCTCTTCCCAGTAGGATGCCTTTCCTGTGCAGGGATCATTTCCATCGCAACCCTGCCTTCTAAGGCCACTTAAAGAAGCACCTACTCAGCATTTACAAATATTAAAGTCACTGCTACAGGAGAAAAGAGCCTGGGTAAGCTCAGAAGATACCTAAACAGAAGGTAGACTAACTGACATCTGAATGAGTGGCCTTAATAGGGTCTCAGTGATTCCATGACTTGGCATGTCTAAACAACCAGGACACACTTCGTGCAGTAACTGGAAGTCACTCAGTCATGTCTGTCTCTTTTCTCAACGGAGCTGTTAAAAACCTCCACTGGCCAAATATGCACTCCGGGTGTAAAAGATTCTCAATTATGGCCAAATAGATGGAATGTACACCAAAAGGAATTCCAAATTCACGATTATTTCTATTCAAAAGTCCTTTGTTGCTTGTGGAATGGCTAAGTCAGGCAGAGCCTCTGACCTGAAACTGACTCTAGAGAAAGGGTATTAAGCCAGTCAGCACCCCAAGGCCCAGTCCCCAACTGTTACTCCAGGCTATCCTCTGCAATGTTTTCCCACATCTTTAGCAGTCAGGCAAATGTCCATAATAGGTTTTGAAAACCAAATTCTCCCTCTGACTATAAAAGAAAAAGAAAGCAAAACATAAAAAGAGGACACTTGAAAAACCGGAAAAGATGAATTGAAAAGAAAAAAATTTCTTTGGATTTCCTCCCAAAATCTGAAGTCAATGATTACAAATCCAATCATGCATTCAATAATCCACTCTGCACCACCCCCGGTTTTCGGCTATGGGGATACAGTTGTGGACAAGTCCCTACTTCTTCTCAGAGGGACATGTATGGAAGGAAAAAAATAAACCTAAACATACACACACACATACAATCATGTATGCACAAACACAGGCAAGCATGTGAAGTAGTAATAGAGCATAAAACGATAAGGATTATTTTTTAAAAAGAAAAATGCTCTCATTTCTGCAAGCCTACAATAATTAGAATTAGCTAGAATTTCACTAACAAAACAGCCTCTAAATAGTGACTTATGAGACTTGTGTCAAAAAAATGAAAATAAATAGATCTGATTCTCAGAAGTTTAAATACAAACAGGTGTTTTTTTAATTACTTGAAAACAAATTTTTTTATACGATTTTCTATAAAAGTTTGCCTAGATCTTTACAATACGTATTTGATGGACCAGCTTTATGAATGAATCAAAAGTGAACTTCAGCCACGTCTCTGCAATAGTTATCACAAATTCAAAATCAATAAAATCAGCCTTGGTGACATATGGCCAGGATAAAGAAAAAATAGTTCCCCTATCCTCATCTTAATACCGGAAGCTCATGGAGAGAAGGCACCTCACCTCTGAGCCAAGTCAACGGTTCCACCTTCACTT